ACTTCCTGGAGCCAGAGTGTGGGTGTCATGGTTAATGCGTATGAGACCTACAGTGTGCTCAGGTCTGAAAATGTCCTGGTGAAATATATTGTTTTGCACACAAACTAGAATAAATGGATAGTAAAGTGGATATATGTGGGAAGGCCACAAGATTGAGAGTCAAAAACCCAGGTCCAATTGACTGACCCTTCTCTTCTTGGCAATGACGGCCATGGAGAATCCTGGCATGAGGATCCTGTCTTTACAAGTTGCACATCGTATGGACGACAGATCCCTTTAGAAAGCTGAAAATAAAGAACTTAAAACTCTTAGACACAGCCCAGACATGTGCTTAAGAAGACTAGATTGTTGGTGGATCCTCTAAGACCAACCCTAGATCCAGGAGTCTGTCTTCATCCAACAGCTGGAAGAATCCTACCCAGCTGCCTGCAGTGGCTCCAAGCTGCAATAAGGATGCCCTGCACTCCCTTCAGCAGCACCACAGTCCCCACACAGACCAGGGGCTAATGAGCTGTTCTCCTGTTTGCTGACGGAAGACACTTGTAATAAAGTTTAATGTGGAAGAACAAGGTGCATAAAACCGAAGCTGTAAACACCTCTAATTCTATTTTAAACTATAAGGTGCCGTGCATTGACATTTAACAACCAGGCAGACACTGAACTGGCATAGCACCAGTCAAGCCTCTTTTATTGGAAAGCGGGTACCAAGTCATCTTTACCAACAATAAGAGAAGGGGCAGAACTCACCCGCACCATCTCTCATGCCACATCCTGTGAGTTCATTAAGAGCCAGATCCAAATTATGGTGCAAAATGATGCAGATTGCTTTAGAAAAGAAATGCTAGGTAAGCCAGACACAGCTCCACTTCCAAGCCTTGTGAATCTGAATTTCCCCAGATTTTTAAATTTTTCCACATTTTAAAAATGAGAATTGTTCAGCATGCACCAAGATACAATATCAACCTTACTTTGTCTCTATAGAGTTCTTACCACTGAGCCCCTCTGAGAAGAATTCGGATTATCTCCTCCCTCTCCCCCAGCCCACTGCTTGTCCACTCACTTCTGGTCTCCTTTGGCATCTTATCTCTGCACCTGTCATACTGGACACTTTAAAACCATTCAGATCTGGCTGCCTTTGTTCTCCATTGAGAATTGTGCCTACAGTCAAGGCTACAGCCTAACACTCTGAAGACACCTCAACTCTCAAGGAGCTCAGAATCCATATTTCTGTTTTCAACACTTAACATGCTTGCTACTCAACGTGACCCTCAGCTCAGAAGCAGGGACATTCTCTCTGGAAGATACTGAGAAACTCAGAACCTCAGGTTCCATTCCAGGCCTCCCAAACCAGGATCTACAGTTTACCAAGGCTGCAAGTGATCCGTACGCTAGAGAGAGAGAGCTCATCTAAGGCCCAAACGCCTGAACACTCCACTGCAGAAGAGGCTCAGTGAGACCACACTGAATGCAACCTTTTCCCCATTCTGTAAATCTCTGCTTTGTTTTCTTTTACAAGAAAGAGCTTCTGCTCCACACGTGGGGACTAGGGTTCTGGGTGGGGTCATCGTCCCTACCACGTGGTTACCTGGCCTCGAAAAAGGGCTGGCTCCAAATGACAGAGCAGGTTACTCTCTCAAACCTAAGTTCCCTAAGTCAGGACTAGAAAGGCATCTTGTTGTAGGGAACCATTTTAAAACTCAAAGCCAACACAAAACCCACCCTCCAAATATGAGTGACATGGTGCATTGGAGTCAGCCTGGTGGCACTGATCCAAATATGATGCCCCTCCTCTAAACCTGAGGGTCCCTTCCTCAGGGAGTGCGTCTGTAGTGTGATTTACCTTATGTGCCTTTAAAGGATCCCCAGTTGCTAGTCAACTGGCCCTTTAAGAATTCTTAGCTGTTAGAATTGCTTGACCTTATTACCTTTAGTGTTGCCTCTTGAATTTCTGGTAACAGGAAAGGATATAAAAAGGGCAACTGAGGCAGAGGCAGGTTGGGCAGGGCTAGCAGAGTAAGAAGAGGAAGCAGTTGGTGGAGAAGATGCTGTTAGGAGACAGCCAAGCCAGCAGAAGCTGAGATGAGCAGATAGGCTAGAGTAGTTGTTAAAGCTTGGAGCTGCTAGTATTGGGGAAACTGAGAGAAAGGACTGTTTAAGCAGACTGATGGGGAACTGATGGGGGAATGGTTGGGAAAAATGTTTGAAGGGGCTGGATTGAAAATTGAGAGGAGGGCTGGCTGGGAGTTAAAAGAACTGGTTACTGTTCTAAAATAGCTAGCCATTTTACATGCTAGCTGAGATTCTCCATTGAGAATGATGTCACTCAAACAGTTAGGGAGACAGAACAGTGAAGGTTCACAGTTAAAAGGACAGTCCACCTTCCACAGCGATACATGATTCAACCAGCCATGGACTGAAACTGTATAGTGCTGAATATATACACTCTCGTTTTCTGGTCATTATTTCCTAACTGGCATTTTTATTGCATTTATATTGCATTAGGAGCTATAGGTAATCTAGAAACAAATTAAGTATTCAGAGGATGTGAGTAGGCTGCACGTAAGTGTTATATTTTATATAAAGGATGGGCAGCTTGGATAACCATCAGGGTCCTAGAAACAACCCCGAGGAACAATAGATGACCAACAGCCAGTGGGTGACATAGATGGAAGCAGGCTCTTTGAGTCAGGGTGCTCTGTCCTCCCATGCTGCAAGGAAGTATGACTCATACAGCCTTTCAGAATTACATCCATTGTTATTTATCTAAACCAGGCAGAATCTGTATTCAAGTCGTAGGATACGGAGGCAGCTTGTGGTTAAAAGAAGAAAGAGATGAGTCTGGGAAGGATTTAGGGGACCCGGACTGGCTTATGTGCTGGCAGGACATTTTAACCTATTTCTTTCTCAGCCTCCATGGGTTTCAGCCACTTATCCTCAAAAGGAAAAGAGAGTTTCTTTCTCGCATGGACTGGCTGGCTGTCATGAAGCATGTGTGTCCTTTGTACTATATTTGTGGACTGGGGCAGTAGCCCTATTCTTGGTGCACTGAGGATATGGCCATCAGATCACAGTGACACTGATTGATCTCTAGATGTCAGTCTTTGGCCAATCCACACAGTGATACATTAAAGGTTAGGAAGTATCCATGTCTTTTTCATGCCCCTCAAGTGGTGACAGGCCCTGTGTGGTATTTTGTGGAAGCTGAGGAACTTTAGTCCTGTGGTGGAGGGGATTCTAGTGAATCCCAGCCTTCCCACGGCAGGACTGTTTCCACTCAGGGCTGTGGCTTTGAATGCAGCTCATCATCAAGTGAGCTTCCTTTCAGTCCCCTTCCACACTGCCTATAAAGATTCCTTACCATCTATGAGCTAGGCCAAAGTTCATCCCAAATTCTAGTCTGTCTGCACTCCATCTCTGAGAAGCCATTACTCCAGACATTGAGGTCATGCTTGCTTTAATTGCATCGAGCACGAAAGCAGCTGTCCATTTGGGAAACTACTCAGTGATTACATCATCGCTCCTATTGATGCCTGATTGCAAGAAGAACCCTTTGCACTTTCTAGATGATGGATTCTTCCCCTCACTTAGCTTCAGAAATGTTGATTCATGGTTAGTGGTCTATTTGGTAAAGAAAGAGCGACTAGACACATTTTCTGAGCAAGAACATCAAAATGTGTCACTTCAAATAAGCACCAGGTACAAATTGCTCATTGCCCCTGCTCTGAGGGTGCTCATGTGGTTTCCTTTTGGGGAAGGCAGAGAGACAAGCTCTGCAGGGATGCTGTGAGGCTTCTGTTCCCCATTAAAAGGAAATGTTCAGTGGGTTCCCCCATTCCCACAACTTGTGTAGCTGTGACCAAGACTTGAGAGAAAAGGGCTAAAGTGAACCTGTAACAGTTACAGCTTCTGGATGGTCCTGAAAAGCATGTCTCGTTCTTAGTGGAATGTGTTCATGTCCCTGTATGAAGACTCTTAAGCTTTCACCGTGTTAAAGGAGGGTGGGCTTGGGGGTTGCAGGTCCTCATCACCTCTTCATTGCCTCATTCTCTACTTTCAGTGTCCCTTCAGTGTCCCTGCCTGCCTGTGTGGCTATGTGTGCACATTAGGAAATCATTTTGCGCCGGGCAGTGGTGGCGCACGCCTTTAATCCCAGCACTTGGGAGGCAGAGGCAGGCGGATTTCTGAGTTCGAGGCCAGCCTGGTCTACAAAGTGAGTTCCAGGACAGCCAGGGCTACACAGAGAAACCCTGTCTCGAAAAACAAACAAACAAACAAAAAAAAACAAAAAAAAAAAGGAAATCATTTTGCATCCTCAAGACACTGCACATACAGCTGTGAGCACACTATTGTGATAAAATGCAATATCCTCTATGATAGTCATGGTATCAATGGTATGCTAATAACGATTTTCCCCTTCGAACGAAGATGCTTTGGAAAGCTCTAGTACACTACTCTAAATGGTCTTTCTTCTTCAAAATCTGTTTCAGGTATGGAGAGAGGGAACAAGATGCTGGTGTCATCAGAGAGCGTAGACTTCCACACCAGTTTTTGCAGAAAACAACAGCTGTTCCATTTGGACCCCTTTCAATTAACACAAGAAATTTTCACAAGGAACCCTGAGTCTGTGGGAATATTACTGCTATAGGACTAAGTTTACAGGTGAAAATTTGCCTTTAAAAGCTAGGGATACCACTTAGAGGTAGGTGCTCATTAGATCATGTGCAAAGCTTTGGGTTCAAACCCACATACTGCAAACAAAAAGTTTTAATTTGTTTTAAAATGCTAAGTGGCTTTAGCATGAAGGTCAAGAGAGATTGTTTGTGTATTGACTTATATTTTCCAGAATCTTAGAATGCTTATTGTCCCATGTAACTTTCAAGAATTCTAGGAGGGATTAGATCATTTTTTTTTACACATACAGAATATTTGAGGTGATCTGAGGTGATAAGAAACTCAAGGAAGTCCAATAGTGATATAGAGGGCACAACTCACACCCCAGCTGTGTTTAAAATAGATAATTTATCATATATACATTGTAAAATTACATAGCCAAACAATGTTTATAGTGTGTAGTAAGTGGCCACCAGAGTACACATACATCAAGAAACATCCTTAATAGCACTGCGGAAATCAAGATGACTCTTACTTCCATTAAGTCTGACATTTTTGTTTGTTGTTTAGGACCACAGAGCAACTTCCCCACAGTCTTATGCCTCATGGTCCCCTGACGTCCACCCAAGGCATTCATGGTTCTCATCCAAGGCTGAGATGGCTAAAGCACTTGCCAAGAGTTAAATCCTTCTAGACACTTTCCCAGCTTGGCTTGTACTTTCATTGCTATGCTGAGGGAATGGTGAAAAGCTGTGCTCTCTCTTGAATGGGAGTTGACTAAGTTTGGCACACTTTGCTCACTTACATGATGTACCCACTGGAACCACACTCGAGTCTTTGGAAAGAGAGAACAATATGTCTTCCTAGCACTCTAGGTCCATTCTGCCAAAGGGGGACAAACACGTTACAATGCTGTTCTTGTAGATCTACAGCCTTGATGAAGTATGGATCTAAAGACATGAGTACCAGAATTTTCTGAGCCAGACCTCAGACTTTCAACCATCAGCACCTCTGTCCTCACATGGCCAGCTTGAAAGCGTCTATTAAAAACAGTGGATGTCATCACAAGTGGCTGCTGCCATCACCACCAGGAGATTGCTCTGCCCTGGGTGTCCTAGAGCCTCAGAGAACTATTGAGTTTATATATTCTCTCCCGCTCCCCACTCTCTGTGACCTTTACAGGCATTTCCTGTGGCTATAAACTGGGTGCTTGATGTCTTACACAGAACAAGGGCAGCTGATTAAAATTAAGATTTGATTTTCCTCCAAAACTAAGACACAAGAAGAGGAAAAATTGATACAGTTGGCTCAGCAGGTGCTCTCAGAAGCAGAGTCCTTGTACTCAGCACCAGGCCAGGGATCTCTTGTCTTGGAAGACATGGCCAAGGGCTGGCCCTTCTCTTCTGGGAAGCACGTACCTCTTAGCAGACATCAGAATGCCGTGGGAAGGGGATCCCCATCACACTGAAGGCACAGGTGAAAATACAAAACTAGGACATTTGTTTCTGAGTGTCCTAAATAACTGGGAGCACAGATGACAGCCAGAGAGTTGACAGAGATGACAGTCACTACAGCTGGTTCTCCTCGAAGAGGATCTGTGCGTACACGGTGCTGGTGGGAACACCTTTGGCAGCCCGGTGTGGTTTGATCAGCTCCAGCTCCGCATAGGTCAAGTTTTCCTCAGTGATCTTGGGCTATATAGAAAAATGAAAACAAAAAGCAAAGCATAATTCAAGCTGACTACTGCCAGTCATCCACCATGTACTCGTTTATCAAGTATATGTTTCCATAGTACTTATAGGGTGATGTTAAGGGAAATGTTTAGGGAAAAATAAATAAGAACATATTCACAGACAAGTCACAAGGTATAGCTCATTGCTCCATGTAGAACACCATGCTCTGCCAAGAGTCACTGTGATTAATGTTAAAGTTCATATCAGTTACTCACAGAAGCCACTGGACTCTATCTCACAAAGCAGAGTAATAGCTCTGGTCAAAAGGAAATGTACAAGACACAGAAACAAGCCTACTGGAAATTAATAACAAACTTAGAAAATTTGTGAATGGTGTCATTACATACCTAAAACTTCAGAGCATCTGGAAAATTATAATGAAGAAAAGATTTCTTAATCCATTCTAACGAGTATAGAGAGAAGAGTGGTCATGAAACATCCTAGTTTAAGTGCTTTACCATTTAATGACACGAAAGGGTTAAGCATTGACTTGGTTTGAGTTTCCACTGTTGTGAGGAGACACCATGACCACAGCAACTCTTTTAAAGGAAGACATTTAATTGGGATTGGTTTACAGTTTCAGAGGTTCAGTCCATTACCATCATGGCAGGAAGCATGGCAGCATGCAGGCAGACATGGTGCTGGAGAAGGAGCTGAGAGTCCTACATCTTGATCTGAAGGCAGCAGAAGGAGACTGTGTGCTACACTGAGAACAGCTGGAGCATGGAAGACCTCAAAGCCTGACTCCACAGTGACACACGTTCTCCAGCAAGGCCACACCTACTGCAGCAAAGCTACATCTTTCAATAAATCCACTCCCTAGGACCAAGCATTCAAAGACATGAATCTATGGGAGCCATACCTATTCACACCACCTCAAGCATCAGGCACAAGAAGGTGGGAAATGAACAAAACAAGCAAAAAACAAAAAAACAAAAATGAAAAACCAAACAACAACATCCAAGCAAGATAATAAGGATGAACACAGCAAAACCAGAAACTACACAAAAAATACCTAGAATCAGGTATTTGAAAGTACTCATAATGAGCATATGCTAAAAAACTGATCACTATTAAGAGGAAAAGAATATAAGAAATCGAGAACTAATAAAACAGAAAACAAAAATGGAAATAGAATATAAAGGAAAGAAATTTTACATACTGTTAGAAGACTGCTTGGCTCAATATACTAAAAACAAAATTTGAAACACAAGGTAAAATGATAATGTCCCAGAAAAATATAAATGACAAATGTTAAGTGTAGGAAGACTGAATTTGCTAAGTACCCTCAGAGGAGCAGTAAGGCAGAGCTGCCTCTTCGCAGCACCGGCAGAGTGGTTGCAGGGCATCTCTGAAGAAAGCGCCTGGGAGCATCTCACATCATTAAGCTGCTGATCAGAGAGTAAGAAGGACGGAACCTTGTTGGGTTTTAGACCAAACCCTGTGCTCATATATGTTTCCATTCAGATTTATTCAGGAGGATGAAGAGGCACATAATCGTACTGAATATGATAGGTAATCACACATTCAAGTGGATTTTATATAGGAAAGCAAGAATGGTTCAGTATTTTAAAATAATTAATAGTAAAAGATCAAAAGAGAGAAACATAGTGATTATCTCTATAGATGCTGGAAAGCCATTTGGTAACACTGAAAAACCACTCTTGACAAAATCAGTCTTTGAATGACATAGTCACAGCTATGTGTCTTCTTAGTATGATTAAGAGATGTTAAGATAATGACGAAAAACTGAGCATGGTGGTGCACAACTTTAGTCCTGGCACTCAGGAGTCAGAGGCAGGTAGATCTCTAAGTTCTAGACCAGCCTGGTCTACAGAGTGAGTTCCAGGACAGCCAGGGCTACACAGAGAAACCCTTTCTCAAGAAAACAAAAAGATAATGAATAACTGGCAGTCCAAGTCTGGTGATATTAAAAGTGTACAACTGAAATAATTTAAATATGGTAATACTGGGAGGCAATAAACGTATGTATCAGTGGGACTGACTAGAGACTCCAGGAGTGAACTGAGGTATCATCTTTCAGTAAATGCTATTGGAATATTTAGGAGAAAGAATAAAATGAAATCGCATCCTATGTCAGTCCACATACGTTTAAAATATGTAAACTTCTAAAACTATTGAAAGAACACATGGAGAACTTTCAGAAAAACCATCTTATGGTTTTTATAAGTGGTGCATTGTCCTGCTCTGGATGGCAAAATTCTAAATAGAATTAAAGAACAATCATAAAGAACAAAAAAGATGTTTGCAGCTCATGTCTAAGGGGCTTACAGTTCAGCAAAGATCTGGACTAACAACCCACTTGGAAACAAAGGAAAGGAGTGCCAGAGACCACTGGAGGTTCCCAGGAAAGCAGGGGATGACAGAGACTGCCTGTGACTCCCAAGAGAGGATGTACAATAGGTCTTGCACAAATAAAGTGAGACAGCCTCACTCATCCCAAAAGACCCATAGTTTTGCCCTTAGTTCTTTGAGAACTTCATAGGTGTGTCTTTCCCATGTTCACCTCTCCTCAACTCCTCCTAGATCCCCCTCTTCACTATCCACCCAATCTCATGTTCTTTTTTTCCATCCATCAATTCCAATGTGTTCTGCCTAATATGTTCATGGATGTGTGTAGCCTTTCACCGGAGCAGGGTCAAACTCTAAGTGGCAATATTCATAAAGAAAACTGTCCCAGTTGTCAGTTGCCAATTGCTCCTTGCCTGGGGCTGAAACTTCATGTTCACCTCCTCTCTCCATTCTTCAATTTGGTCTGGCTTGCATAGGGCTTGTGTATGCTGACACAATCACTATTTATGTGTGACTTTCTGTCTTTAAGTTTCCAAACTTGTCTTAAGTTGCCCAAGCTCTCATGTCCTCTTATCTATTCCTGACGAGATTATTCTTTGGGACAAGCATAGAAAATGAGAGATCCTCCCGTTCTTCAGTGGCAACCTGAGAATTTGCAGAATGGAACATATATGATGGTGTAATCTTAAACATCCATAGAGTTGGTAGTTCAGGAGTGTGCTACTTACCAAATACGTGCAAGGTCTGGAGTTTGACCCTTGGTTTCAAAAGTCATTTAAAATTGATGGAGTTGTACATGGTCTGTATAGCATCATTTGTGAAAATATGTGTGTTTTATTATAATATGTGGACGCTACCCTTGGAAATCAGCAACTGGAAAACCCCATAGCCATGATTTCAAGGGGTGTAAGTTGGGTTGCTGAGGGGACTCACTCTTTATTATATATTCTTTTTTCCCCTTTTAATATCTTGTTTATTTAGAAACAGAGTCTCACTGGGTTGTCCAGATTGCCTTGAACTCACTCTGATGCCCACATTGGCCTTGTAGTGCTTCTGCCTCAGGCTCCTTGGTAGTTTGGAATACAGGCCTGTACTGCTAGGCCTACCTCCTACCAACGTCTAAGAAGGTAGTCTCTCCATGCCCAGAGCTTAGATGATGGCCCACAGTGGGCATGGTCATGTAGGTATTCACCACTGCACCAACAGTGGAGAGCTGGAACGAGGTTCTAACTAGCTCAGCGAGATGGTGGAAGTGGCAGGAGGAATTAGTCCATGTGCAAGAACACAGATTGGTGGCCTGTCTTCAAAGGTTTTTTCCTTTCCAACCTCTCCACAGGAGCTGACAGCCTGCTGAGACAGCGGGCCTGAGAGACCCCCCCTTCCCCTTCCTGTCAAGGGGGAACCCCTGGAACTCTGCCTCAGCTCATTTCCTACTCTCACTGTACCCTAAGCTCTGGAAAAGTGGCAAACGGGAACTGGGAAGGGTTGTGCTTATGGAAGAGACTCACACAGCTCTGGGTCTCTCCTGCCCCAGCTGACAACTCCAAATATAAGAAAACAGATGTGGTGGGCTCTATACAGGATGCAGAGACAAGAGAGGCCTGGCCCATTCTCCCATTCTGGCAAAGGCTCAGCTCTGCCCTCAGGCCAGTGGCATCCCACCTCACGACTGTATCTGGCTCTTCTAGGCAGAGGAGAAAAGTGTGCAGGAGTATATAAGCTGAGTGTGGAGACAGAACTGCCACGACACAATCAAAAGAACGGGGACCATGGCCTCCTGTCCCTGATCTCAGGATAAAGAGACAGAGCAGACATGAGCAGCTCGTTGCATAAGCTGAGGGCCAAATCACAGAGCAAGGATCCCCAGTCACCCTTCAGAGCCACCCCACCATCATATCATCAGACTGTGGGAAAGGAGCCAATTTATGAAATTAAATAAAGTCCATGGAGGGAGTGAAAACCGCCAGCCAGGGTAACTCTACCCCGGCTGGGCCCAGCACAGCTGGTGCTCAGGATCCCACTCTCCCACCCTCCTGGGAGGGAGGCTTAAATAGGCCAGGCCCCAGCCTGGCCACCAGGGGTCAGAGAGCCTACGGGGGACAGAAGTCAGAGAAGTAGGGGTGCTGCAAGGCTTCCTCTGCTGAGATGGGCTGCACAGGGTTACACTTCAATAGGTTCTGCAACAGGTCTCTCCCTGTGGCATTGAGCTTGGGTACGATGTTCACCAAGGATGTTGTAGCTGGGTACATTGGGTAGGGCTTATAGTCTGGCAGCTTGGTCATGGCAGGCCATTGTTCCTCAGTTGGTGTCCCTAGCAGTCGAAAGATCCTCTTCAGCTGGTCATCCACACCATTGCCGGGGAAGAGAGGTCGCCCTGCATTAGCCAGCTCTGCAAAGATGCAGCCTGCTGACCACATGTCGATGGACGTGGAGTACAGCTTGGCCCCAAAGAGGACATCCCGTGGGCGGTACCACAGCGTGACCACCTCAGCAGAATAGCAGCGGACTGGAATACCAAACGCTCGGGCCAGGCCAAAATCAGCCAATTTCAACTCCCCATTCCTGTTTATGAGTGTTCTGGGGCTTCAGGTCCCTATCCAGCAGGTTGTGGCTGTGACAGAATCCCAGGCCTTTCAGCAGCTGGAAGA